TGGTTTAGTGGTGGCCTTGGCAGTGCTGGTTTAATGGTTGAACTTGATGATTTTATGGGGCTTTCCCAACCCCAAGTGATTCTTTAACTTCCTGGACTACACTGCTGCAGTTTTAGTCACTATTGATACCATTCAATTCCTGTCATGTCTCGAGGAAGAACTGATGAATTTTTTTCATTCAGCCTTTAAAAGTCTTAACTAGATGGGGAGAGTGAAAAAAAAGTACTTCCTAACTTGCCTTACTGGAAATGTCTGCAACAGGATCATTTAGCATTTACGAGGCAGTTTGGTTGGTCTGGCAGTGATGATAGGCAGCTTAAAAACAAAAGTAAACCTCTCATCGAAAAAACTGAGAACCTGATTTTAATTGGGGTGTTTCTAGGGCAGAGCTCTGTAATGCCAGGTTTGTTGTCCAGTATAGTCAGATGTGATTTGATGAAAGTATTTCTGTAAGTTTTCTAAATTCTTCAGTTTATTTTTGTAATGCTGTATTTACTAAACTATTTTATTTTTGATAGAAATAGATTTATAATATAGTGGATGATGGTGTGAGACTGCTGAGGAGATGAAGCAAAATTGAGCAGCAAGTTTGCCAATCTCATGACATTATAATATTTAAAACTATACACTCCTGTACATATTCTACTCAAACTTTATTTTGCTATGCAAGAGGTTAAGAAATCCTGTGTTGAAGAAAAGCAACCTCAAAACCCCCCACTTTTTTTCCTGAATGGATCTGCATAATAGCTTACTGTTTTTACTGTGTTTCAATCGAGATGTTTTCGTGTCTTTACATTCTTTTGCCACTCTGAACAGAGAACTTTTCCAGTGAGAAGGACAGAAACTAGCAGAACCTAAGAAGTGTTTTTTGACTTGCTGTAGGTGACAGCCATAGGTACATGCAGGCTTTCAAACGTTGCAGCCTGGTGGTTTGAAACCAGCATAGCTTGTAGTAAGTTATAGGAGTTGCAGGAAAAAAAAATCTGTAGTTCTTTCCAGATCCATTGGGTTTTTAGGTGGTAAGTTTTTCCCCCTGTTATCTTTGGTTAAGGCTGTGTGTACATTCCAGTACCTAGGCTGGGCAGGATTATATCCATGGATGCTTTCTGCTGGCTGCTGTGAGGGTTCTACATGTTTGGAATACTTTGGTCCACCAGGTCTTACAGTGGATTTAATGGAAATTCTAGTCCGTGTATTCCAGTTGCTGTGTTCTTCCCAATCTCTTTTGGGATGGTTGTTGGAAAAACTGAAAGAATCATCACATGGACAACCCTGGAGCAAGTATTTAGTCCATTTCCAGCCAGTCTGTGTTTTCCTAGCACTCCAAGTGCCTTTTTCAGTGTAATGGGGTGGTAGCTCTGTGGTTTTGAAGAAGAGAGTCTGAGTTCCAAGTCCTCTTAGTAAATCCTGTGCCCTTTCCTGCACAGCTGCTCTCTGAAGAGCCATGAGAGTGTGCCAAGCAAAGAGAGTGTTTGGGATTTGTTTATTCTTAAAGACTCATTCCTAAAGTCATGGATTTCCCTAATAGCAGCTCCATGAAAATATTTAGGTTAGATGGAAATTATAGCAGCCTTAAACTTAATTTGCAGCATATTCTGCAAAGTCATCTTACTTCTTCCTTCCCCACTGGAGCAAAGGAAGACTCTCCCTTAGTGATTGTTGTACCTGAACCCACAGAGCTCTTTGCACAGAGAAGTCCCCAGACCTGGGGACATCTCTGTCATTCCAGCAGAGATCAGCCAACAGTTGGCACAAAGGCTATGACAGTTTCTGAGTTGGTAAAAGGAAAAATTATCTCCTTCCAGCAGTTGTGAGACCAGTGTCTGCCTGGGTAATAAAAAGAAACTTGCACCGTGCTCTGCCAAGAGCTTTCTGCATGGAACCATCCACTCTTTAGTGATGGGAATGCTTACAGTGAGGCTCAGCTGCTGATAGCTGTGCAGGCAGCCAGGTTAGAAAATGAGTCACACCAGGGCCGCCTCTGGAATTGCTTGTGGTGTTCATAAAATGGCCCCTCCTGCTTTGCTTCTCATAGCAGAGGTGCCACGTCATCTCATTGTTTTAGTAGTTTCTTTCCAGTGGGAAGGGGGGATTGGGAGTTCACTCCAGTGGGAGCCCCTTGTCCCAGTTCAACTGGTCATCTTTTAGTCTCAGTTTGTGCTGATGCTGGTATGAGCTGATCTGACGAAAGGAGTTATTTATGCAAATCTTTATTATAGCTGCTGGTGTAGGGAGGGGGAGGATCCTTGGTGAGTGGGTGGGATGGTCCCTTTGGCAGTGTTGTAGATTCGTGCTAGACTTGATCTTGTATCCACAGCTGATGATGATAAGTTATCTCAAACCACATTTAACGGGATGCTTTTTTTCGCAGGAAAAGCTTGCGTAAAACCATTGGTACTTGTGGTAGCTCGAGGGCTTACAAATACCTTTTTTTTAAAATTTTTTATGTCTTGTAAAAATACCATGGAAAGTCGTTGTGTTAATGGAATTTTCACTTCTCAGATTTTAATCTAGGTGTCATATCTGCAAAGCCTCCCTCCGGGTGCTTTGTAGGAGTTTTGTGATGTCCAGAAAAAGGGCTTTACATGGAAAAAGGCATCTGCTATTAGGACATGCATTTGTTTGTTTCTTATTGCCTCATGGCTGGTGCAGTGCTTGAATTCCTCCAAGTCCGTAAATTTTCCTAAACTTTTATGGTAAATTGCCTTTGTACACATGGACTTCTGTCTTCACTATTTGTTTAATCTTAATAAATTAATAACTCATGCATTTTAACATTTCTAACTCCATCGATACTGCTATCTTTATCTTTCACATTTCTTTTTAGCCTTTATTTTGTGTGAGCTGCCTGTCCCTTTTCTTCTTCTGTGGAACAATTTTTGTCTTGTCTAGTTGTACTGATTGAGATCTTCCTTGGTCGTGGCAAATCTTTGACCGGGAGAAGCAAACAAATCTACTTCTAAAAATACGATATTTGGGATCTGTCCCAGGTACAAAATGCCTCTTTCCAGCTGGGCATTATCTGACCATGCAGCAGTGCCAATTCCTGCGAGTGTTGCTCAATGTATGAAGAGTTTATTGTCTAATGTTTAAACAAATGTAATGGAATCATAAATAAAATTTATTCCGTAGGCTAACTTGTCTTCTTGTGTTCCAGGATTAGGATAAAGCTCCATAAAGGAGAAAAGCCATACAGCATTATCTAATTTTATCTGCCTTATGTATCCCTAAAGTATTTAATGTAAGATACATATCTTTAAGTTTAGCTTTTTTTTTTCTCTCCAGATACTAAGAAGTATTAAGAATTTAGTAAATACCATGTCTTGCCTGTGGCATGGTATAGGAAACTGCAGGTGATTCTTCTCAAAAGCAAGTGTCTTGTGGTTTCTAATGGTGACTTAGCTTTCAGACTGGCAGCATTTATTAGAAATTTGTGTCTCAGTTCCCAAATTCTTCCCTTTGCTTAGAGCGCTTCGTTTTGTCCCAGTTGTAATTAAAGACAAGGCCAGGTTTTCTCTTGGAGTTGAGCCTCTTTGCACTGCAGATGATATTCTTAGCTGGATGTTGAATTGTGTAGAGCCATGTTTTTTGTGTTTGATAGGATTGGAGCAGAGGGCAGTGCTGTTCCATTGCGTTTTCCCAAGTGGGGATGGGTGAATAAAGCAGCCACAGACCTGGATCGGTGCTGTGTTAATAAATGCTGTGCTATGATGGGAATCAGCTGAAAGGAGGGGAAACTTCACTTTTATTCCTGCACTGTGTGAAAATCCGGAGGTGTTCTCCAATCCTATGGATAGACACAGCCACTTGGCCGGCTCTCAAAAGTGTTCAGATTTAAGAGGCCACCCTGGTGTGGCTCCTGGCCGTGTCCCTTGTCTCATTTTGGGACTGCCTGGATACTGTTGCCACTGCGGTGATTTTGGGCTGCCCAGTGTGGAAAAAGCCAGCTAATTTCTGTCTGCTAATGCTCAACCTCTGACTTAACCTCTTTCCCTTCGGAGCTTTCATTGGAGCACTTTTTCCTCCAGCCCTTTGTAGTAATCCAGATGCTCGTGTTCTTTTCCTCCTACACAGCAGATGGAGATGGCAGAAGCCTTTTGATGACTGTTTCCTTCTTTTTACATAAGTTTTATGAGCTGACGAGTTCGTTAGTTGGAATTGGTGGAGCTCACAAGCCCTGTCCAGCAGGTGGTGCATTGTCACCTTGCCAATAATTATATATATTTTAGGGATTTTTAGGGGTTTTTTTTTCAGTTTAATCTGAGATGTGAGCTTTACTGCATCGTTATAGAAGAGAAAGCAGATGTGTCATGTAACTGTCATGATCAATCTGTTTCATTTTAGCCAAAAAATAACTATTTTGAATTTATTAAATACCTAAGTATTGTGCTATTTCAAAGTGAAGAAAACAACTCAGTTTGGCTGGTTGAAGAGTTGAACTTCTGCTTTTTTTTTTGTGTTGTTTTGGGCTTGTAGCTCATGAAAAATACTTGTTAAAATTTGGCATGACTTGGAATGGTCATCTTTCTACGCTCCAGGAAAGCTTAAGTGGGTTAGCAGCCCTCTCTCTCCCTTCCAGCATTGCCTATCTACTTAAAGGAGAGTTCTTGGCTTTCTAACCCTCCAACTATTCATCATTTTAACCTTACTGAAAGGTTCTTAACCTACTGAGGTGTATAAGCCCATTTTTTTTCCTCTTCATTACAGACTTAGGCCTATGTAAATTAATCTGTTTTACATCTATTTCACAATTTGAATTTTTTTTATTTCACAACTTGGAGCTCCGTTTCACAGCCACAACGCTCGAAGGCGTATTTTGATGGATCTTGTAAAATAGCAGTGTAGAAAATCTTTATTAAAGAAGGGGTAGAACCTGAATCTGTACCTAATGATTTAGGTAGTTGCGTGAGTATGTTACTGATCTGAATGTACAACACATTTATTGGAGATGTAAAATATGCAGCTGTTACTTAAATTACTTTTGGCTTCTTGTTTCTTAGGAATATCTTGGTGGATAGGCCAAATGATCAATCCTCAAGATGGTCTTCAGAAAGCAATTATCCTCCCCAGGTAAGCTTCTGTATCTGTGCTGCTCTGTAGCTGTGTTGTACAATTTAATGTATACTGGGGTTTTTATTTTAAATGTGGGCTGCTGCTATTGACATTGACATATTTATAGGCTTCTTTCTCTGCATAAAATGCAGGTTGTTGGTACGTGAGATATTTACATTTTCAGCCATTTGTGATCCTTCTAGAAGTGCTTCATTGTGGGGGAAGTTTCAGGTTTCCTCCTTGGCAATCGTGGTCGTACTGGAAATAATCAAACCTTATGGTGAGATTAAGCTGCTAATGAGGCGTGCAGGTCCCCCTTTGTCAGCACTACTGGAGGCTGTTGTAGGTTCTTGGCCTTGAATCCCAGATCTAAGGAGCTGGTGTTTGTTTCTCCTTACAGCACGTTCAGAAATGTGGCCTCTAGTTAGAGACACGAATGTTACCTCTTCTGCTGGTTAAGCACCTTACTTAAATAAGATTTGTATTGATTTTAGCATCTAATTTGCTTTCTCACTATTGTTAAGAGTGTTAGATTATCCAGAATATGCTTTTTCGCTTTTTTTTCTCTCCAATGAATGTTATTATTCTCTCTGTGTTAGACCTGTACCTTATTATTCTGATATGGTTTGATCAGCTTCTAATGTCTCTTATGCTGCTTGTTTTCAATTCTTTGTTTAAAGCACTGGTACACAGCAGAGTGACTTGCACAGTGTCTCTCTCATGCAAAGTTTTGCTTATCTACTTATTTAATCCAAATATTCCTCATGAGTGAAATCTCACAGGATTCTTCTCCAGGTAAATCTTGCTGCTTTGTCTTGGACTTGTGTTAAAAATCCAGAGTCTGCACTGGTAGCTCCCTAGAGCAGCAGGTCATCTGCTGCAGCTGAAGAGCTTTCACCTGGATTTTCTGATCAATCCTTCTGTGTCATTGTGTCTGTAAAATTAGGTTTTTGGGTTTTTAGAGGAGAAGGAAAGGTATCCTTTGTATTCCATTAACATGTTCCTTAAACCTGATTGTGAAGACTGATATTGATCCTTTTGATGCCTCTGTGCATCTGCTCCTCTTTGAATTTGATTATTTTACTTATTTATATTTTGATAAACAATGTGGGATTTTAATCCATAGCCTGAAGTAGTTTAGTCTATCTAGGAACTATGGATTGCAGAGTAATGGGTATTGAGCATGGATTATGTCCTAGCCTGTGCCATCCTTTACTTTCTTTCATGCAGGATGCACATGTTTTTCTTGGGATGCTTTTGTTCCCAAGGCAGGGTTGGCTCATGGTGTGTCTTTGGACTGGGTTTTTTATCTGACATGTGCTCTTAGTTGTTGCTTAAATACACTGTTTAATTTTCTGAGCCATCCTGAACATTCAGTCCTTTTAAAAACCTGATTCTGGAATGGAAGCACACCTCCTTGTAAGTAGATGCTTTAGAATATTCCCAATTTATGCTGAAGTCTGACAAGGAGTGATGCAGGTTGTACTCAGACATGTAGATTAAGCAGGGATTAATTAGAGTGGCAGACTTCTGTACAAACCACACGAGCTTGTTAAAGAGATGTCTTCCAAAAATTTCATGTGTATGAGTCGTGACCTGAATGGAGATACTTTTGCAGAATGACTTGACTCCAACCCTGGAGAGTTGGGCACTGCTCTGCATGCTAAGCAAGGCATTTAACCCAAACTTCTTGGTAGGAGAGAGATGAATTAACACTGGCATTATCTACCTGTGTCACATATCAAGACATATATTAGGTATCCTGAGTTAAAGCCAGCTTGCAAAAAAAAAAAACAAAACAAAACCGTCCTCATGTGGCAACTGAGATTGGCAAGACAATATTTGAGTTTTATTCTATTACTTAAAGACAAAACTAACAGAAAACCTGGCTGGAAAACACCATTGCTGCATCCTCTTGCTTGAATCTTTGTATCTAATAATGAGAATATAAAGTACTGTGTAGCTGCTCACCTGTTCAGCAAGCCCAATCCTGAGCACTGAGTAAGAGAGATGATGTATTTGCAGTGCCTTTGTACTATATAAAGTACTGTATACTGCAGCTAATTTTCGTCTTTCTAATCTGAGTATTTAATTATTCATATAAAGCATTTTTTACGGTTTAATTTCTGTGTTGAAAAATTAGCTGGAAAGAGGAAGTGGGAAATTAAAATCTGCAGAAGAGTCCTGTGTGCAAAGAGTGCAGTTTTTGTTATTTCTGTGTATATAGAAGCAGTTCCCATTTGTGTTGTCTCATACTTGAGAGATGAAAGAACTCCAGATTTGGTTGCATTTTGATCAAAATAGTTCTTGTACCTTGTCCATTGAAAGACTGCCAAATTAAATGCAGGAAAAAAAATTTATATGGGTGTTCTGCTTCCTTGGTTTTTTCCCAGTGGCTGAAGTTCTTACAGCAGAATCTTAGCTTGGAAAACATCAGTTGAAACACTGGATGGCTGAATTATAATTGTGGCAAGGAGAGAATTTGGGGAAAAATCAGATTGAATAGTGTATATTCCTAAAAATGTTGATGTATACACATGACTTCTATTGTCTGGAATAAACATCATGGATCCTATAGAAAATGAAGCTGAAAACGTTTTATAGGTGTTGTGTTGGCAGCTCGTCAGTTAAAAACTGGTCACTCGTGCAGTGACGCACTTGCTGAAGTGTGTGGGTGGCCATAATGGTCCGGACAGGAAGCGAACTAAAACTCAGGGCAATAAAGCTCTCCTTGTTCCCAGCTTTATTAGCTGAAACCAGGGTTAAGGCACAACACAAGGACTGATGTTCAGTGTGCTCAATGTGAGATATCTTAATAAGCTCTGCAGCCCTGATCGCTCGTGTTTGTCTCCTCAGTGCCTCACCTTAATGCCAGGGTTTAGCAATTCCCTGCTGAGGTGATAATGCTGTGCTGGCTTAGAGGTATAAATATGAGTGAGTCCCTAAACACTGGTTTATTCCCTTCACTCATTGACTGAAACAAAACCTTTTCAGACACTTTTTCTTTCAGAGCACAAACTAGAAGACCATAGGTAAAAGCATCAAGATGTGTTCAAAAGCTCCATGAAAATGCAATAAATGTGCTAAAGTCCATACCAGCCCTTTTTGAAAAGGGAAAGAAAATGAAAGTGGAAGTGTAGACACTTGAAATGCTGCCACGTGACTATATTTAGTAAAGGGGTTTCCTGGCTTCATGGGTATGGTAGAGTTAAATAATTCTCGTGGCCATGAAAGCCACCAGTTGGTTATGAATGAGTGCCAGTGAAAGGAAATACATCTGACAGCTGTTTTTCTGTTTATTAAACTAGATATCTTTCTTGAGTCTTGAAATAGATGACCCAGAAATTATATATTTAATAACAAACCTGTTATGTAGTAACCTATTCAGGCAGGAGAGGGCTGATGGTTCTATTTTTAATTTTGTTCTCGGCTTACATTGAAAGTGTGAAGCAATGAGGCTGGTGATGCTGAAGACCAGGACTCTGTCAGAAAGGCTCATCCTGATGATTCTAGTGATGGTCTGATGTGGAAGACTGTGCAAAGCATTTAATTCCCCTGAGTGGCTTGATTAATAACATGCAGAACAAAAGCATAGATTTTTATTTAGCCACCAACTTAATTGCAAGAGCAATCGAGATGTTTGTATTGTGGACAAGGTCAGACCTTGTTATTTTGTGGGTTTTATTTTTACGTGAAATACAAGTTTCACTGTTCCCTAATTAAAAAAAAAAAAAAAAGCTTGAGCAGAACTGGTTAAAGAAATTGATAAAAGACAGTGTGACTCTTAATTGTACAGGCAGTTTGTATAGTGCAGTTTGGAATCTGGTTCAGCATATTTGATCACGGAATCAATTAGGTGGGAATAGACTTCTGAGATCAGAGTCCATCCTTTGACCAATCACCACCTTCTCAGTGCCATGGTCCAGTTAAATGCCACATTCAGTCGTTTCTTGGACACCTCCAGTGATGGTGACTTTGCCACCTGCTGCTTGGGCAGCCCATTCCAGTGTTGTGGAGCTGTGAATTTTGAGCAATTGAAGATCATATGCATGAAGTTAGTGGTGTTGTCCAAATGATTGATTTCAGTTTTGCATCTGAAGACCAATTTTCTTCTGATTTCCATCCTGCTGTGTAGATTGTATCAGGAATTAATTTAAAGTACATTAATAAAATTTACACTCCGTTGTGTGATGCAGCAGCCTGAATATGGTTGTCATTAAATGGTAGCACATACTAGAGCTTCAAAAAAGTTTGGAATTTGCTGCAGCTCCCAGTGTAACAAGGCTGGGCTTGCTTTTTTTTTGGGGTGCACTGTAAGCAGCTGTTGGGGTGCTGAAGTGCCTTATTTGACTTACTCTGCTCTTTGTGCATATTTATTTACAAATGTGTTGAATCAGAAACCAGAAGTTTTCCTCTTCTAGTGTTCTGTAGCATCTTTTTTGTTAGTGTTGTGATTTGAGGCCTAGCAACTGGGCTGAGGTTTTTGCTCAGTCATGCCAATTAGTATCTGTGTGCCATGTTCTAATGGACAGACACTTCAGTTATAATTTGGATTTTTGGAATAGTGCATGAATACATGGCCATTAAATGTGCTGATGTTGCTCACAGCAATAAAATGGAAAAGTGTCAAATATCTTGGTGTATTTGCCTGAAATCTCTTAGACTTGTTCTCTCCAGGTTGAATAAATCACTTGATCCTACAGACACTTCTGTCACATCTTTTAGAGCTACAGAGAATAGTCTGTCATGGCTAAAATCCTGGTAGCAGTCCAAAAATATCCATGCAGCCAGCTGTTAGCAGCTCTTGGGGCAGTGTGTTTTTTCAACATCAGTGAGATTCATGGCTGGTACCTACACAGTGGCAGTGATGTGTGTTTGTATAGAAACCCAAAAAGTGCATCTGTGTATTTTTATATACATTGTTGAATTACAGAATAGTTTGCATTTGAAGGGTCTTTAAACATCTCATTCCAGGCCCCCTGCAATGGGCAGGGACACTTTCCACTAGGCCAGGTTGTTGCAAGTCCTGTCCAACCTGGCCTTGGATACTTCCAGAGATGGGGAATCCACAGGGTCTCACCACCCTCACAGTAAAGAATTTATTCCTAACAGCAAATCTAAATTTAATCTTTTAGTTTAAAAATCTTTCAGTTTGATGTGTGTGTATGCATTATAAACCAGAAAAACACATATCTAGGTGCTGGGTTTTATAGCAAATCTGTCTTGTTTCCATATCAATCAGCAGATAATTCACAAAAAAAGGTTGAATGTAGTTTTTGTGCTTCTATTTTTGTAAGGTCTGCATGACTCAGCAGGTGGTGGGATGTATGGAAGTGGGAAGGAGGGCAGCAGAGTTCCCTCTCTATCTGTAGGGTTAAGAAATCATTGCTGGCCATGTGGAGTAATTGCTGTGCCTTGCTCCCTTCCAGGCATAAAGGATTTAACTGCAGTCCTGGTTTTCTCTCCCCTAATTTAGGGTAAGAATTGAATAATGCAGGATGACGTTTGTCCCAAGTTTTTGCAAATCTTGTGTGGTACTTGAGAAAGTGTGTGTTCATGGCCCAGGCATTAGGTTTGGGATTCCAGCAGGATTAGGAATTGCAATTGTTGGTAGTGCTGGCTTCACTTTTGCAGCTTTGGGAGAAATCTGCAGGGGAGATGTGATGGTGTAGGAGGAGTTCTTAGACATTGTGTACTGTCTGTTCTGTATGGGAATTTTGGCAGCGGGCTGTGCTATGTATCCAGTGCTGTCTTGCTCATTAAGGGACCGTCCTTTTGCTCATCTTTTCTTTTCTTATACTTTAGAAAATAGTTTTCTCTATAGAATTTTAGTGGTTTTTTTTTTTTTTCCTGAAGTTTGGGAAGTACTTTAAGACAACAACATGTCTTCCTGCTGCGTAAACAGTGAGTTGTGACATTTAGGTGGTTGGTGTTTTTCACAAAACTAGAACTTTTTCATTAAAAGTATTTGGAAAATCACCAATGCATTCTTCTGTTGTACCCTCACAGTGTTGCTACTGGTTTATTTTCTTCACTTTGAAAAAAATTGAGATGCTGGCAACATCTTTGACAGTAAATCTGCTATTGCTACCTATCCAGTCTTCATCCTCATCTGTAACTGCTCTATGTACAAGTATTTCTCTTAAGCTGAGCTTCTTGTAGGTGTAGAAAGAACCAGCCATTGAGGTCACACCTTTATTCATCATAACTTTATCCTGGTGCTCTCCAGAACAATGTCAATACTGCTCCTAGATTGAGAATTATTTGCTTTATAGGGCTGAGACAAAAAAAAATAAAAAGACTGAGAACTAAATGGATGAGCAAGTTTTTTCTGCTGCTCTCCCAAAAGTTGCCTTTCTAGGGTAAGATTGCCCTACTAATGGAGTTGTCTAGGATAGTAGATACTGTCCTAAGATGTTTAGCATAGGAGATACTACTCTGTCTCTACTCAGGATCTACAGAAAGCAGCCATGCACATGCAAGTAACTCTGCTTGATGTCTATGAAAGACCAAATCTCAGGCATCATGTCTGGCTTGGCAGTGCTGCTGCTTGGAGGACAGGGCCACCAGCAGAGCCTGTGGTGGGAGATGTCCTACAAAGTGCTGATCTGCTTGTGCTGGAGTCCTGATGACAGGGTTTTGTAACAAAATCCAGCATGATGAGTAATTGTCGTTCTGTGCTTTGCCTCTGTGGTGCACTGCTTATTTCTGAGAAATCAGGGAAGAGAGTGAAACATGCTATTGTTTTCAGATATAAAACTCGATGTATTCTGCAAAACGAGGTGTCTCCAGGCTCGCCTCAAGAGCCTTTTGGTAGGGGAAGGTACTCTGTGATCCCTGATGATTGGTGCAAGTGCTTCCCTGCACCTGCTTTTCCATGGGAACAGACCTCTTCTTCCAGCAGTGCTGGTAAACCTGGTAACTGTGGCCTGAGTATAAATAATCTGACTACTCATATACAATCTGTGTCCACCCAGTGTGAGTGGAGAGCAAATGTTCACAAGGGAGAGCATTTTCATCATTTTACATGTAAAGCTCTTTTTCTGTCATTAAGTGGCTCAGTTTTATTTGAGATGGTTAATAAGCAGTTGGTTCCTGTGTTCACCACACAGCAAACTTTGTGTTCAGTGGTTAAACAGCATCAGCCCAGAGAGAAAAAGTAATTTGATGTTCTCTTAGCATGTGGAACATACTGTATTTATCTAATTGTGTATTCAGTTTAGGTTTCATTTCAGGCTGTAGTGGGCGTTTGAATCTTCACTCTCTGTGGTTTGATCCTATTTGCCAGATTTCAGGAAGCCTTGTGTCCAACTTAAAGGAATGTATGTAAGCTCTGAATAGAATTGCTAGGCATAAGTAGTTCAACCAGATCTTTTTCCCTAGATAAACTGATTTTAAAATAATATTTTTTTAAAAACCTTTCCTTCATTCCAGGACCAAATTAAAAAAAAAAAAAAAAAAGCCATAATGGGGAGGTTTCATCTTCACTTTCATTCTCTGGCTTTGTAGACTGAATATTTGGAGGCTGTAATGCTTCTCCCTTAGTGTGTTTTGCAGCCTTGGCTTTAATATTCAAACTCACCCTTTTCTCTTCCACAGTATTTGATTCTGAAGCTTGAAAGACCTGCCATAGTCCAGAGCATCACATTTGGCAAATATGAAAAAACACATGTCTGCAATTTAAAGAAGTTTAAAGTCTTTGGTGGGATGAATGAGGAAAATATGACAGACCTCTTATCCAGGTAAGACATGATTCCATCAGCTCTGGGAGTCATAAAGGCTGGACCAAAATGCTCTTCCCCCTTGTCTCCCCAGCAGACACATGGCCAGCAGTGGGGCAGAGCTGGGGGTGTGACCCTGCCAGTGGCTGCCCTTGTGTTTGTGGTCAGGTCAGAGGGCAGCAATCCCAACGCTTGCTCCAGGAGCCTTCCTTATCCTGCTCCAGCCACAGAGGCTTTGTGGAGAGCAAGCTCTTGGGGATTTGGAAGAGCTGAATGCTGGGTGCAGCGTTGCTGGATTGCAATTCCTTCCTTCTATGTGCTTGAGGCAGAGGAGAAATGATTCCCTGGGTGTAGGGGACTTTGAAGTAACTTTTAAAAGCCCAAGTTACCTCCCCATGTCAAAACCCTCACTGCAGCCTTAAAGATCTGAACTAGTCAGCTGCTCTGCCTTTTTCAGATGGTTTAATAAATCAAACAGGCAAATGGAAACCTGCATTTTCCTTTGTTTAGTTGGATTTGGTAGAGTTGTACTGATACGGACTAAAAAAAAGAGCCTTTTGGCTGTTCAGGTTATCCAGAACTTCTGAGTAGTTGCTATTGTAAATTTGCAAGGGCCTTTTAAGGATTGTGCTGTTTGAGAAAGGGAAATGAGAGTTAAAATCCAGGAGTACAGGAGAAAAGAGTGGCAAGAACTGGTGTATTTTGGGAGGCCTACAGAAGAGAAGTCCATCTCCAGGGAATGTATGGGGTACATCATCTATAGTCCAGCAGAGTAGCCATGGACAAACATGGGAAGTTCTATGTTACAGGTATCATTCAAGACCATATAGAATCTACCACAACCCTTCCCACACTTTTACCCTCTTTAGATAGATCAGTCTTGAAATTTGTCTTTATTGCTGTTACAATTGTGGGGGAAGAGGTCTTTTAGTATCATAGTAATTATTGACATTTAAAATCGTTTCCCTTCTGCTGAAGTTTAATCAGAATCCTCATTTTGGGACCTGTACTTGTATTTTCAGTAAAAATGGACTTAAGATTTTTGATAAATTATACTAAATATTTGATATTTGTAGAAAACAATGCCCATAAATGAATCATAAAACACTTTGTCAGGGTGATAATTTTGAGATCTGATCCATCTCCCTCTTGAGAATGGAAGAGTGCAGTTCAGCACATCAGGAGCTGAAGTCTCAGGGTTCCAGGTGCAGAGGAGCAGCACTGATCCAAAGCCAATTCCCTCCCAAAATCCCAGTGTTGCCTCCCAGGGAGGCACAGGTAGGTGCAGAGCAGCCCAGGCCTCGGTCCAGCACGTGTACTGATGGTTCAGAGTGGTGTGAAACAAGCTGCGTGTTTCAGGCGTGACCTAGATTGCATTTATTAGCTAGTTCTAAAATACAAGGTAAGATTTAGTAACCTTATTTATTTTTTCCCACAGTGGCTTAAAGAATGATTATAACAAAGAAACATTCACCTTGAAGCATAAAATTGATGAACAGATGTTCCCCTGTCGATTCATTAAGATAGGTAAATGCATTTTTTCAGCATTCTGAGTAGAAAATAATCTCTTCTGATACTTGTGCCTGTCTTGGCACTTGTGACTTCATTGTACTCAGGCAAAGTATCCACAATAGCTGTTCCATTTCATCATCTTCTAGGCTGGTTAGATTGGAACACAGTGAAGTCCTGTTAATAAAAAATAGTAGCTTCATAATTTAGATCCTGGGGAGTGAAAGCAAAATAGAGCAATTTTCAGAAATACAGCTGTTGAGTCAACTAATTGCAGGAGAAGCTGCTTACTGTCCTCCTATGAATTGCTATAGAGCTTTAAATAAATAACTAAGCTAAATACCAGTGAAAGTTTCAGCATTGATAGCCTTTGAGTCTGAAGAAGCTTGAAAAGTTTCATTCTCAAACACACTCACAACAAACAAAGCAACAGCAGAAGCCTCCCTTGTTCTCTCCCTGCTGCTCTTACCACGATGTCTGACTCACTTCTGGCTAAGGATGACCCAGGGGCAGGGAAGGGTTGTAGCCCCTGATGTCTTGTTTGGCTGGGGCAGGGGCTGAGGGGGTGCTCCCAAATGCCAGGTACTGGGATGTGTGATGGGAGCAGGTAAGGATATCTCTTCCTTGCTTTCTGCAGGCCAGAGAGAACAAGAGCCTTACAGTTGTTGGATTTAGTCCAAGGATTTGGAGCCTTTCAGCTTGCTCAGTAAATTTATCTTTCCCTTCCTACCTACTGAGATAGTACAAGAATGACTGGGTTTAAACTAGCTGTTTAAGGTTAAAAATAGAGCAAGGAGGTAGTTGCTGAAAAATGAGATAAGATGCTGTTGGCTAATTTAGATGAATTTAGGAGTGTTTTGATGTGTTGGGTAATTCCTTTGCCAAGACTGTGATGATAGTGGCTGTGTAGGAGCTCCCCTCGGAGCCCTTTGCTCCAATGTGTTCTTTGTGAATCTCCTTATGTTTGTCAGGAACTGAAAGCTTCAGGCTGGGAATCCAGTAATCATTTGTGGGGTTTCCTGTTCTTAGAGAAGCAAAGGATTTGGTTGTTCACTGGGCTGGTTTCTGGCTGCTACTTTTGGAAGCAACTGTAGTGCTTGGCTTTAGGAAACCTCAAGAGTAGCAGAGGAATCAAGTTAAAGGTTTACTACATCAGGGAAGTTAAATGATTTTTTAAAAACTTTATTTATTTATTTATTTATTTTTATTTTGAAGCTTCCAACATTAAGTTTTTGGAAGATTATTTTTCAGTGGCTAAAACCCAGCAAGTAGTTCCTGGAGGGCTAAAAAGGCCAATGGAAAGATTTCTGGCTGCTTCTTTGAATGTGTAAATTGTATTCTAGGAAAGTGTGTTCTGATGAAATGAAGTGTAGCTGTGAGTTGAAACTTGTTATGAATTTGAAATGCTTATTAATTTCTATTACCAGGATGTTTTCCTCTGAAGTTACATGAGTACCTTGTTTTGTTGGGATGCAATCTTCATGTAGCACTTTTCACAAGGGCATGTGGTGATAGGACAAGATTTATTTGCCTTATCTGAAGAAGGGTAGATTTAGATTAGATATTAGGAGGAAATTCCTGATTGTGAGGGTGAGGAGGCCCTGGCATAAGTTGTCCAGAGAAGCTGTGGCTGCCCTTGGATCCCTGGAAGTATCCAAGACCAGGTTGGGCAGGGTATAGAGCTACCTGGGATGGTGGAAGGTGTCTCTGCCCAAGTCAGGGGGATGAAGTTGGATGCTCTTTAAGGTCCCTTCCAACCCAAACCATTCCATGAATAAACATTATCTACGTTCATATTAGGTTTGCATTGAGCTGTCACTTACTCACTGGTTATGGTTTGAGAAGAATTTTCCTTCATCTATAGCCTTTCATTTCCTGAAGTTGTCTTCCATGAAGAAATTCCTATACTAAGACAGAACTGGAAATGGTCTTTTCACCCAAACCTATGAAAGCCTCTGGTTGATGGCTGGTGTCATTTTGTTGATGAAGTTGTAGGAGCATTTTTTGCTGTGAAACAACTGCAAAACACTGTTACGAAATTCTGTTATTTTTCAGATTCACAGCTTGAAAGTGTTTTGAGTTTGTTAAAATTTCCAAGCTGCTAGCCAAAGTAACTCAAAATTTCAAGCACCGTGCTGTGTTCCTTGTAACAGTGCCAGGAAACGAGGCCAAAATCTGCCCTTTTGGACTCTTGAGGACTGACACTGCGAAATCCCACTATCAGTGAGGTTTGGGGTTGGGGGTTTGCAGCACTTGAACCAGGAATTGGCTTTATGATTCCACAGATCAGCACAGGGACCTACAACAATACTGTCAGTAACACAACATTGGGGGCTTACATGGGGGCACAGGGCAGGAGGAACCGTGGGGAGATCTGGGAGAAGGGAAAGTTCCTGCTCCAGCCTCCATTACTCACATTTCAGAGGAATTTTCAGGCTCATAAAACGCAGAAAGAATAACCTCTCTCCTTCTGTCAAGAAAAGCCTTGCACTTTTGTTAGTTTAATAACTTCAGCTTCAGTTCCTGAGCACTGAAATGCCCAGTTGTGCAGGCTTTTGACCTACTTGACAGATAATTTTTACATTTCATGTAGCACCTCATTAAAGAACTGGAGAGAGAAAAGGTATTTATCCAGACAAAATATCGAAGAATAATCTTTGTCATGTCTGTGAGCTTTGTTTCTGGCTCTGTTCTCATGATTCCTCCAAGCACAGATTTTTCTCTGCTGTGTCCTTGAAAGCAGAAGGTGTAAAGACTGATTGCCATGAAAGAACTTGAAAAATGCCAGGTCTAATTCTCATTGCAGTTTGTTACTAGCATGGGATTTGGTAACTAGGCTTCAAGATTTTTAGACTTTGGTGGAACAAAAACGAGGGATACTTTTTAAATGGATATTTTCTTCATTTTTGCAAGTGTACCTGTTTGTATGTCTGCCTGTAGATGAGGGACACAGAAATTAGCTTGAGAGAGGTATTTAAAATTACCGTGTTTAATGCCTTTGCTATTATCTTCTCTACTAAATAGTTGCAGTCCTTGTCTAGGCATAGCTATTATTGAGAAGTATCCCCTAAAATCATCCTTGTATGGATTAAGAAGTGTTTAAGTGACTCAAATACCTTCTGTTTCTCAGAAGAATATTTATTTTTTTTTAATTATTTTTCCTCTGCTGAGCTCCTCTCACTGTGGAGTGACAATTCAACTGTTCTGAACAGTTACACCTTTTAGGATGGATTGCTGTGGTACCTGCAGGAAAAAAACATGGTGAGATGGCTTTATGATAAAAAGTGAAGGAATTATTTATCTTTAGGCTTTCAACATCTTTGATTGTAATGATTTTCCATCTCAAAGGTGTGCAGAAAAAAGTGCTTCCATGCTGCACTTAGTGCCTCCTCTCTCCAGGTATGTCAGATTGTGGGTGCTCTAAAAGGAGATTTTTCTGAAGATCTGAGCACTCCTGTGGAGGCCTCAAAAAAGAGAGGGCAGAAGAAAGGGTGAGAAGTGTCTCCTGGGAGTCAGGAAAGAAGTTCAGAAATGGGGAGATGATCCATCACAACACATCAGCCTGCCTAAAGTGGAATAGAAATCACATTTCAGTTTCAACCTTCATCTTTGTTTCTTTTCCTGCTCCTATGGAGTCATTTACAAAGATCAGGTTCAGTTTTCTCTGCCTGTGCAGTGCTGGGGAAGTGGTTGCCTTCCCTTCCCTGTACAGCTTAATGTGGTTTCCTTAGAAAGGATGGTTGCACCATGAAAATCTTGCTGGTAAAGTCACCATTTCTGTGTTTTCCTTTTGGTAAAAAAGGCTGTTGGAAGCTCTGAGTTAACTATGGGGAGGACAAATGTCAGTAAGTTGACGGCTTTGCTTTTTTCTTGTGGTGAGAGCTGCCCCAGATTTTTGTGTACATCCCAGTAACTTCTTAGGGGTTGTAGTTGGCATCAGAGAGGAGGGTGAATTGTTAATTTTTTTCTGGGAGAAGTTCATGTAAGTTCTAAGGAGGATTGCTGCAAAGAAATAGAGGTGGATAGAGAAGGTGGTAATACTTCAGTTTGGAATTTGGCCTCAGGTTTGCCATCAGGAAATGTATGGTCTTGGCCCATTTGAGGTGGTCTGTGGTTTATTTGAGTGTTTCAGTTCAGTGAGCTGATGGATAGACTTTGATGTTTATAGCAGACCAAATGCCAGATTTAACCTCAGTTTGGTCTGGTCTTTGTGTTCAGGTCTGAGGGCAGACCAAAGGTGTTGCCCTCAGATGTGGTATTTTGTCAGACTGCTGCAGTAATGGGTAGGATATCCGGGACCCAACTTGAATTTAGCAGCAGTCATGTTTTATGGTGTTAAGTTACCATATTGGCAGCACTCAGCTTGTGCAGGGGGTGAAAGTCAGCAAGAGGGAAATTTCTTGGGCAGAGAGTGTGACTCTTTGCTTTTCTGACCACTTCATTTCTCTCTTCTCTCCACAAACATGCATCTACAAGGAACTGCTCTGAAAGCATCACACTGTGTGCTTAATAATCAAATTGAAAAAAAAAACTGTTTGAAAAGATGGTTTGAGAGCATAGAAAGTACCTTCTTAGGGATGTTAAAATCAATTAAGAGTTGCATATACAAAGTCTCTTTGGATCTTGACTGTTCCCAGAAGTTATTATGAGTCTTTAGCAATAGCTTTGTAAATACACCCTCTAAAACTTAGAAAAACATGTGTTTGAACATGTGCCTTGTGCCCAAACCCATTGCAGACAATCATAGATGTAGTTTGTTTGAAGTATAAATACTTAAGAACCTGTAAGAGCTCAAGAGCAATTTTATGATGAGTTTAGGGTTTTTATTTCCTCAAGGAGTAGGTCCGAGAAACATGAGTTCAACAGGTTAATCTCAGTGGTATTTCATGGTGGTTTGAAAGACAACAAGCAATTTCTTAGTGGCAAAAATAGTGCAAGGGAGGAGGTAGTGGACTCCTTGCTGTTGCTGGTAACTGCTCATTCAACTTTAATACTGTCTTTTCCTGTTTATCAGTTACAGTCAAATAAAAAGGAAACAAAAGTATTTGAAATGAAACCACTTGATTTCAGTGCAGTTTTAAGGAGTCAGAGTTCACACAAGTTTTCTGGGATTTCGAGTTGTTTCAAAAAGCAGAACCAGGTCTTAACCTGCAGATTAACCACAAAATCAGTGCAAGGCCACAGATGTTAACCCAGAGTGGTAGAGAAGCTCTAGGTGAGAGGCTGTAGTGTGTTTCAATGGTCTTTTAGTATTTCAAGTCCATTTGTTCCAATATTCAGTTAAAATAGTATCAGCAAGAAAACTGCACAGATTAAAGCTTTAAAAAAATAGAATTTTTAAATTAGAAACTGACAGTTATCCCTCCCTCGCTCCTCCACAACTTGCAGATGTTACTAATTTTGTAAAATTTAAAATACCCAAGCTTCTTGTCTTCACCATTAGGGAAAATAATTGTTGCTGACAAATGGGGAAATAAATGTACTATGAGGAGCAAATACTGTCGCTAGTATGCTCGTGATTCCCATCCTTGTCAAAGCTTGTTGCCTCTTGGAGCTGTTTTTAATGATAGTGTTTTTGCTTTTCTGCTTAAAGCAAGCTTCTGCTTTGTAATGATCTGCTGTGTTAATGTTGCTCAGCACAGGTTGCTTTAAATGACAAACTTGAACATGATGTATTTGGTAATTTTCCTAAGCTATGTTAAATGAGCTAGAACTTAAGTCAGAAGCACTGAATTTTGTGTAAACTTTAAAAGCATTCTGTTGCAATACTGATTGCTTGATGTTTATGCATCCTTTTTCTCCTTTTCATTTCTTCTCCAGTTCCACTCTTATCCTGGGGACCTAGCTTCAATTTTAGTATCTGGTATGTTGAACTAAATGGCATTGATGATCCAGATGTGGTCCAGCCGTGCCTCAACTGGTACAGCAAGGTAGGCCTGCATTTTAGATGCCTGTTTGTTTGAAGATTCCCAGTCTCAGAATCTTGTGAAACTTCTCTTACTGGCTTGATGTGACCTTTTCATTCCTTGAACATCAGCTATTAAAACAGCAAACACACATAGTTGAAACCACATGGCTGACTTTGACCCTAAGGGAAACTTTCTGAATTTTATCTGTTTGTTCTCTTTGAACAACCGACAAAACAACCCCAAGAAACCCCAAAACACCCTCAAGAAACCTCAAAACCACCAGCATTGCCCAAAAAACCTGCCAGGTAGATATCACAAGAACATAAAAGAAAGGAACACTGTGCCAAAGGGGACAATATTAGTGAAGTAGTATTTGTATTGGAAAGGAAGTGAATCTTAACAAAACCAGATTCCATTTCTCCCTCTTCTTGCCTTCTGATTCTTTTAACTCCAGTCTGTGGAGTCCAGAGCCTTTTGGGTTACAGATGCAGCTTTTGTTACAGAACATAAAAATTACCTCTTTTAAAAGAGACTCCATGTTGGTGTCTTGCACTTTAGATCCCTCTTACTGTCTTTTTTGCTTAATACCCTGGAACAGAGTGGGGCTAGTGCCACTGGTCTGTGAGATGAGATGATTTATGCCATTTGTCATTTGATGGACAGACAGTTCAAAGGGTTCCAAGCTTTATTTTTTTAATCTATATTTATCTGAGCATAAGAGTTGCCTCTCCTGTGGGAGAGAAGTGCACACTGACAACCAGAATTCAATTTTATTGGCACATTTTGTGCATTGGATCTTCTGGAACAATTAATGAAATTCGTGTTGCAAAGAAGACATCCTTCCCAGCTGAATAGGACTGAGTAGTGGAGCAGTGTATCTCTGCTTCCAGAAGGAAGAACTTAGAAGGGGATAGAGGTTGTGTGTGATTGGTACTGAGACTCCCTCACTGGTTCATGGTGCTGCCAGAATGGTGAAGAAGCTGTGTGTGACTGTGGTGCCTGGCTCGTGCCCATTTACACCAACATCATGAGCTGCTTTGTGGAGGATTTAAATCACCAGCACAGTGGAAGTTGTCTGGAGCTGCTTTATGGTCCAAGTAGTGTTGTGTTTATGAGTCAGCTGATGATGGATGTCCAGTTCTGAAAAGCTGACAGAAGCTGCTGATGGTTTTCCTTTTGCTGGCTCTGCACATGGTGGTGTGTCTGGCAGTTTGGACCAGTTGCTGCAAGCAGAAAGCTCTGATTTTTATTATTTTTTTGGTCAGGAGTCATGCAGTGATGATGTCTGCATCTGTTTTGCTCCATCTTATCCCATGGAATCGGCACTTTTCCTGGTCAGCACTGTGTGTAGAGACAGCTTCTTCGAGGGGTGCCAGCATTGTTCTCCTAAAGCTTGGAGCCCCAAACAGCAGTGCAGAGACTGAGTCATGATGGTATGGGCTCTGCTGGGATCCACTGCCAGGTTTTTGGTGATGAGTGCATGTGTCAGTGATGTTCTCCTCTCTCACAGAGGAGAGGCCACTGTTGCTGGATCCACAGGGAGGGATGTGCTGTCCCATATTTAGGGAAAGGCAGAGAGGTTGACCTGTTTCTTCCAGTTCTTTGAGATGGTGGGAATATTTTCATGTGTGTTTTTGGAAATCTCAGAGTCTTTGAAATGTAATAATTCTTCACTGCCTGTGACATCAGATGAGAGGAAGGTTCTACACCACATTGCCCTTCCTTTTTGTTTTGTGCCAACCAAACCTCCCTCTCCTGTGGGGAGTGGAGCTGGGATAATGGATAAGGACTGAAGCATTCCTCAGCGCTTTCTCCTTGCTGTCCAGCTCAGCCTACTGCCTCCAAAAAGCCTTACCCCTTTTTCCTGAGGAGTGGACATACTTCAGCACCTAAGAAGGAGTACTTTATCACTGAGTACCACTTCTCATAATGAGCACATACATATTTTTAATTCTATGAGTTTATTTGGCAGTGTTGATGTCTTAGTCTCATGCTCTTATTACGTTTTTAACCATAGGAATTATTTACAGCTTCAGATCAAAGCTATTATTTGAGTTGTCATCTCTTTAAAGCTGTATGACAGCATTTAAAAAGGAGCCTTTTATATACTTTTTACACTTTCTTTGCTTAAAGCAAGTTTTTACATTTAACTTCTGAAGTACTGCTGTGGTGTCACTTGAATATAAACTTTTATATTGCATCAAGTGGCCAAACTCCATCAAAGTCATTCTTGGCTATCTAAGCCGAGTCTATCAGTCATGAGAGGCTCAGTGGAAGAGAGGAGGTACCCTCTGTCCCAAGTCTGCATTTTGTCTAAACTGGAAGATCTAAAAATGCAGGAGCTTGTAGTTCCTGGTGCACAGCTCTCCTTTTGCTTGCTACCCCTTTGAACAAACAAGTCTAATTTGGTTTTGGCCTTGACTCATGCAAGTGAAGATTTACTTAGAGTGTCTTAGGCATCTCTTGGAAAGAAAGAAAGAAAAGGAGTTGTTTTTTGCCAGTTGTGCTGTAAAACTATTTTAGCTTTAATATTCCTTTGCTGCAGCCTTGCATTCTTATCGGTACATGTCCTTGGCCTTTATGTGGGCTGGGAACTGGTTTTCTAAAAATGCATAGTTCTGGCTATTTGCAGCTGTGAAATACTGATGGATTAAGAACTAAAAATACAGCACATGGCCGTGTTTCTTTTTAGCTGCTTCAGTTTATGAGATTCTTGCTATCGAGCCATTCTTTCGAGAGCGCTAATTTTTGTTGAATGTGTTAGTTCCAAGTTTTCAGAAAGATTCTAGTCATTTAAATACAATAAACTTCATTCTTAACAGTAGTGTCCATTTCGGAGAAAAATCTTTGTCTGTAACTTGATCGGTCTTTTAGATGCTTAAAGTTACATTTGCTTTTTACCACAGTAGTTGTGTGTTGAAGATGGAAATTGAGATTTTTTGTTTTCTTTAATGCTTTAGAATTTAGACTTGAAAAGTGTATTTAAAATAACTGGTTCTGCTACTTATCAACTTAAAAAATCCGTGTTTCTTATGTGTCTTGTTAGCAGCTTTGAAAATTGTAGCTCTTACTCAGAGTTTACTACTCCCTCATGTGTCTGTGCCAGGATGTTTGACCCAGCGTGGGTTTTCTGTCACCTTTCTTACCCCTTCCCACAGCCGAGTGGGAGATGGACAGCTGTGGCTCCATCCGTGGTGAGAAAGCAGAGGTTCTGCTTCAAGATGCAGGAGAATATTTAGAAGTTAAAACTTTGATATGCACATCAATCCTTGGTGCTGCTGATCACAAACTCTCACGAACCCGCAAGATTTGGGGTCAGCCTTCTGCCTTTCTGTGGCAGGAGTGCTGGTCATTGCAAGTATTCCCATTCTCACGGCTTTTTTTTTTTTTTCTTCTGCATCTAGAAAAGCTGTGACCTACTTACTCCTCTAAATTATTTTGTTATGTAAGAGTCATACAATCGAATTATGTAACGCTGATAGCAAAGGCTTTTTCCTACTCTGTGCTTCGTGTAGGCCTCGAACAGCAGGGCCAAGCAGATGGGGGGGAAATAATGGTCACCCCAGAGATCTGGGACACTATGCACTCTCTTCTTGTATGCTTATTAAATTGGATGATACCAAATTGTATAATTTCTATACTGTTTGAAAATAAATGCCTGCACAGCTTGTAATGTCTCTCACACAGCGTTCCTCTGTGAGCTCACGAGCAATTTGCTTGGTGTGGATGAGAGATCCTGTGTCTGGGCAGGTTCACAGGTAGTTGCCAGCAGTGCTGGTCTGAAGGAAAAATCTCCATGTCTCAGAGGTTTTCTTGTGTTCCAGTAGTACCGTGAACAGGAAGCCATTCGCCTTTGCCTAAAGCATTTTCGGCAGCACAACTACACCGAGGCTTTCGAGTCGCTGCAGAAGAAAACCAAGATTGCTCTGGAGCACCCCATGTTGACAGACCTGCATGACAAACTGGTGTTGAAGGGGGACTTCGATGCTTGTGAAGAGCTGATAGAAAAAGCTGTGAATGGTAAGAGAGTCAGAGGAATCTGATCCATTAATTTAAAAAAAGCACATTGAAATATTACCTTCTTTTGAATGTTAGTTTGCTTAGTAGTAGAATTGGCAGGTCTGTGTGTTGTTTCATTTCTGCTGTGCTGTTCACTTTTGGATTTGTGAGTGTGTGTGTAATGAAGGATAAAAATTCATGAAATCTCTTATCACTGCTACTTTTGAAGTCTCTTTTCCCCAGAGATGACAAGGAGGTGCACTTGAGTGGGTAAAGACAAGTTCTTCATGTAAGTGTTGGCAAGCTGAGGGTGGGCTTAAACTTTCAGGAAAGTCATTGGAATGGTGAGCAGGGAAGCAGAAGACTGGAGTTCTCAGTGGTGATCTGGAACATGATTTCTGCTTGGAGCTCACCACTGAGTTGGTGTTCAGGCAGAAGTTTTCAGCTGTGTTTGGTTGAGGATGCTCTCTTTGCTTATGGGGAAAATAATCCTTGGAGAATTGTGTGGAAGTCAGTGACTGGAGGCAGAGCCTGTTTTTCCTTTGCAGAGTGGGACCTTGGCAGGGCAGTCAGTTTTGTTGGAACTGCTATTAATTTTTTACTTGGAAGCTTTCTACTTAAAAACATGGTATATAAACAGCTCTGAACTCCTAAAAGGAGGGAGATGTACTCTCTCTTGGTCAAATAGGATACAGAAAGAGTGGGGCTGTTGCACTGAAGTGACTCTCAAGACCTGTGCAGCAGTTTTGGATTGCAGTCTGATAAAACAGAGGTGCTCCTGGCTGTGGATGTAGAGCTCTTTGACTGTGCAGTCAGTCAATATGGGAGATTTGTGCTGGTGTAAGAGGAAAACTTTGTTTGATGCCAGTAGAGTTAGGGACTTAGTGAACCAATTTCATGGATAGCTGGCACCAGAGATGTTATTCTCTAATTCTGGGCTAATCAGTAATTTTGTAATAACTTTGGAAAGATGCCAGTGTACCTGCTTGACTCCCATCAGTGTGGTTTGTACCACTGAAGCTGGAAGTGGTTCTCAGAATGTGATAGAGTGATAGCTTGAAAATGAAGGGTTGTCTTCCATGAAAACCCACCATCATTTTGTCACTAAGCTGTTCAACTGAACACAGGTTTAAGAAGCTTATTACAACAGGTCCTCCAAAAGTGCAGTAAATAGTTTTCTATGGGTTTGGCTCAGGGTTTCTCTTCAGACAGAGCAGTGGAGACCTGCCCTGTACTGAGCTCCATGAGCAGCTACAAGTGTTGAGGCTGAGAATTGCCGTGTTCATCCTCACTCTCCTGAGACAGCAGAGTGTTGGCTGGGCTGGGAGCGTGAACAGCTTCCTGCAATGCAGGGGCATTTTGCAACTGGCAGCTTCCTCCTGAATTGTAAGGGCAAGGGAGGATTGCAAGTAGGAAAAGCAGCAGGGAGCTGTTTCTGTCTGTGTCTCACTGAGTGCCTGGAGGGAGCTGATGAGCCCACCATGATGCTGCAGCAGCCAGAGGAGTGCTGTGTGCTGATGGTGATGATTTTGTCATTGCCTTGCTCTGCTGCCTTGGTCATGGCTTAATCTCAGTGCCTGGAGGCTGTCCTCTTTCCACTTCATTTCAGGCTGGAGTGGAAATGATTTCTTGAATGGAATTTCACTCAAAGTCTTAGAATGTGCTGAAAAAGTACTCTCAAAAATGGATTTTTTTCTTGAGCGCTAGTGAAACAAATGTTTGTAGTCTCATTTTTTGAGCTGTTATATCTTAATATCTTTTACTACTTAATGTATGCTGAGAATGGTGCTGCTGTCAGCAGTGCTCTGCTTTTCCAGGTGTGGAAGTACTGGCAAAGGACTGGCCTGGTAGGAAACTGTAGGTCTTGTATTGTTCTGTCTGACAGACACTTGTTTCTTGTCAGATTTGATGTGGATAATCCTCCTTCCCTGGTTTTTGTAATCACATCCCTTTTTGGAGGCTGAGGAGCTTGGCATCACTTAGGTGAGCTGGAGGAATATGCTGTAGCTTGTTTTATCAGCCTTTTTTTTTTGTTTTGTTTTTGGTTTTTTTTTGTTCTGGAAGTATAAGAAGCAAGTCTGGGTAGTAACAGACGGTGGATAATTTAGCAGGAGAGTCTTCAAGAGCATCATTAGGTTTTGTCACTGCTTCTGAGGGACAGAAAAATATTCATGGGGATGTTTATTTTGCTTCATTTTAATTTGGCACCTGGCTAGCTGAAGTTAAATGTCAGTGTGCGCATCTCCCATCGCTCTGTTGGTCATCCTTAATGATTTTGCTTGTCTTGGAATACATTAACCTTCCTTCCCCCATCCTCCTGCCATTCTTTATGCTGTCTTCAGCTTTAAATGTACCCATTTAAAGCTCTGTCGCCTCCCAGCACCCTTTGGAGAGAAGTGCTATCTATCCTGAGACACTGAGGCTGCATCCCATATTTGCTTTAAGCTGACACGACTGCAGGTTTTCACTAACTGGGTCAATCCTGCCCTTGCTCAGGACAGAGTGTCCCTGGCACTGGTGCTCGTGCTGCCACATGGCCAACCCAGACAGGGAGCTGATCAGGCTGGGGTGGGGGAGAGGACAGGACAAACCTCTTCTGATAGCCACAAACCCCCCCCAAAACTGCAGCAGGAACAATTTGTCTGAAGTTGTGGAAATTAAGGTGCAGGATATTAATGGTGCTTAACAGCTGGATTCTCCTTGATAGGATGGGAATAGAGGTTTTCAGCCTTCAGCATGTTCTCCTACAGTATTCCTACTACCTGCTCCCTGTGATCTTGCATAGTTACCTGTTCTTACTCTGTTCTGCATCTGTCAAGCTCCCCAGCATTTTCTGAGCAGCCTGGTCTGGTGAAAGGTGTCCCTATCCATGGCAAGGGGTTAGAACTAAATGATCTTTGAGATCCCTTCCAACCCAGGCCATTATGTGATGATTTTTTTTATTATTTTACTTTCCTAGCAGCTCTGTTGTGAAGTCGCAGTAGCTTGCTGCTTAGTCTCTAAGGTGTGGGTGTTCTTACCACTGAACTCCTGTCTGATGTGTTGTTTTTCCAAATACAAGAGGATTAACTTTAGTCCTGTGTCTGTGTAGTGTAGCTGAAGTGTAGAGTTAATTGAGACATACAGATCCTTAAATTATCCCTGAAATCGTTCAAAGAGCGACTGTTCTGTTGCAGACTGGGCATGAATATGTGAACTCCTGACCGCTTGCTGATCTGGGAGTTCATTGCCTTAAAGGCACAAACAGAAGTGCAGTGAGGTTGACAGAGATACTGCACACTCAGTTCAGCCTAAAATGTCTTCTGGAGAGGCTGATATTTGCAGTGGTGGGTATTGACAAAGTGCAACGCTCTGCATCTCTTGCGGGCTATTTCCATAGGCTTAGTCATGTAGAAAAAGAGTAGGTGGTCAAGAATTAGTGCTGGCAGAGCTAACTCTTGTTCTTTTGCATTGCTAATGATGAACGCTGTCTTCCACCTCACATCACCAGATGATTTCTTTTGAGAGCTGTGTGGCAGGCAGCCACACTTTCCCCACTGATTCTTTTGACTTGTGCGTTACACTTAGAAAATGGGCAAATGGAAACTCTGGCAGCTGCCTGACTTCGTCTCGAAAAGAAAAGGTTCCCTAAATCTCAGCTGGTTCACAGACTCGGTTCAAATGCTTCACTTTTGGATCCAGTCCTGTAGCTTTCGGGCCTATATTATTGAAGGAAAAAATCTGCTTAATATTCCTACAGAGAGTATGTGGAGTGCAAATTGCTTGGTTGAACCGCTCACAGCTCCTGCAGACATGGAAAGCTGCTTGGAATGGGTGGAAGAACTGCTTTTTTCCTATTAATATTCCAGGGACTGAGGTGTTCCTTCTGGCACTGCTCGTGTCAGAATGTGACATGTGTTTATCTGGTGACAAGTCAGTCCTGTGCGACAAACAAGAAGTTGTGATGCACAGCCTGCAGGCTCCAGTGTCTCCCAGAAACTCATGATTCACAGGAACAATTGTATTCCCCTGGAAGCTCTAGACAGACACATACCTGAATTTTACGACCTAATATTGTTTGGATTTGGTTCTGAGAAAGCTGTTCTGTATACTGGGATATATGGAGGGGAGAGGCTGGGTAGGGATCCAGAGCCTCTGGGAAGTAAATGGTAGGGTTTGTGTAGAAGAGGAATAACTTACATGGATTTGAGAGCAAACCTTGTTTCGTTTTTATGAGGAACAAAGTGCAAGAAAATATTACAGCTCTGAAGCTGGAAAAAAATTCTATGTTTCCTTGTTTCTCTCAACTCTTGAGGAAATTATCAAATAATGGCTGGATTTTTATTTGGTAGAACCTTTCTCTCCTTCAGGTTTTCTTCAGAAGGTAGTTTGTGACTCAAAAAGCCTCAAACTATTAGGGTATTTTCATTACTTTTCTTTGGTTTGAGAAAAATCTTAAAACCTCAAACCCCAGCTCGCAGAAGTTATGGGCTAAATGTCATTCTGAAGGTTTTTGAGCCATTGGCAGTGAAGTGAAGAGATTTCAGCAACCCTACCTGGAGATATGTGTTGTCTACAAAACCCCAAACTTTATACAACTCACTCTTGATTGGCTTCAACAAGTTAAATACTTTTGTCCGCAATGTTTGTCCTAATCCTTTCTGGGTAACCTGCAATTGGCTGGCAAAATAAAGACTTGGATTATCAGGGAGGCAGAATTTACCAAGCTTTAATCATGGTGAACTTCGTGTTGTTACATCCAAAATGCGTCATGACTTGCTGCAAAGGGCTTGAAAATAGTACAAAGTTGTTTTTTTGGCTGTAATTTTAGTAAACATGGACATTGAAGTGAGAGGTCTCCGGAGCGAAAGAAAACACTTCAGCTAAAAACTTCCACTCAGCGCTTTTTTTTTTTTTTTTTTTTTTTGACAAGAGCCTTGAAATTTATTTTAAACTCCTGATTCATTGGGAACAGCTGACAGACCTGAGCAGGCCTAGATCTGATCCTCAGTGCCTCACAGGAGCTTCAGGGACCTTTTGGTCAGCAGTGCTCTCCTGACAAGGAACATAAGGAGTGCGCTGGCGTAGGGCTGGCGTCGGGTACAGAATCCACCTAGAAATCCTCCTTTTTTTTCCCTGGTGGTGTCAGACAGGTGATGATTCAGCTTCCAAAACAAGCTGCTGCTGGTTTGCAAGGCAAGTAGAGTGAATGTGGAACTGCTTCCAGCAGAAGGAAACATTTCTGGGAAGCAAGCTGGAGTATTTCCAAACCAATGTCCCATGGAAGACAAGAAGCATTATTAAAAGAGGCTGAAGGCACAGTAGGGGAGAAGTGTCATATCTTGACAAGTGCAGCCCGTGGGTGTAGAGCATGGGAGAGAGGTTAAATCACCCTTTCAGATCCTATGTGGTGTAATTCATCCTTTTGAGCTATTTATGTCCAATTATCTATTGGCTGCCATCGGGATAAATACGGTTTTGGTTTCTGTCTTGCAGACCCAAGGCTGTAATGATAACCAAAAAAGCTGCAATTCTGTCTGGGTTTGTGGCTGAGTCACTGTGGGATTTCTTACAGCACATGCATTTGTTCTATTAGGCCTGGCTTTTCTGAATCAGAATTTATGAGATCTCAAGCTTCAAGCCTCTTGTGTGTTGTCCCAACTTCATAAATGCTGAAGAAGTGGGAGTTAAGAACCCTGCTATTAAACCCAAAATAAACCACTTTTCTTTCTACATACGTTGAGCAAACTTCTGGCTTTCCTCGATTACCTAATGTGGGGGGAGAGCTGCTGGTTTTGGCACTGAGGTGAAAGCAAAATCTCTCCTGTTTTCAGAGTATTTATTTAGAAAAACTTGCACAGCTGAGTTTATGGAAGTTTTATATTTTCAGACCAAACTCATCACCTTTCAGGAGCTCTTGAGTGCCCTTGTTTTCCTGTTAGATGGTCTCTAAATAGAGCATTCATCTTCTCCCAGGAAATACTTGCTGGCTTGGGTTTTAATTAAAACCTGGATTTCAGTCACGACAAACTACAGGATGCCAGGAAACACTTTAAAATTTTCTCTGAGCCTTGTGTCATGCTTAACAAAGACTTTTACTTTTTTCTAAATAAATAGGGATGTGTTCAGTAAGGATCATTCTTTTTTGCCTATACACCTACAAAGGGCTTTTGTATAAATAAGCAGAGGCGTTCATGATCTATTGAATTTCTATTGTTTTTTCCCCAGGTAATGCATTAATACATTAATACAGCAGAAATATTTGTCAGGAAGTGCTTGTGTGTTGAGATGATGGGTGGGATGTAGGCAGGCAAACAGTGCTCAGGTGCTCTCATAGTTTGTTGTGCTACAGAAGGTGAGGTAGGTGTTTCAGAGGAGACATTTTAAGACCAGCAGCACCAAGTTCCCTACGTGCCAAACCCTTCCCAGACTGGAGAGCAGTTTCAGGGAGTGTGGGTGTTACAAATCTCCTTAACAGAAAATTGGTGTTTTTGTGATAGACTGATAACATCTGAACAGGATTAGGAACCGGCCTCTGGGTGCTGAAGAGGTGGAAGGCACAAGGGGAGTGTGGATAAAATGCTGGAGCTGCTCACAGAAATGCTGCACTTGGCACATCTGGCCCGGGATCTAACGCCCCTTCTATTGCTCTCCTTGCTTAACTCTCTGAAGAGAATGTAAACTATTGTTTTGTTTTTCATCCAGTGCTTGGTTGTCCCGTATCACAGCATTTAAACAATCTGCTCTGCTTCCCTTCTCTTCTCAGATGAAGCTCCAGAGATGCTGTCTGACCTAGTTTTAACTTAACGTGCACTAAAATGGTTGAATTTTATATGCACTGGCAACTTTCCTTTTGCTTAAATAAGGGGGAGGGATTCTATTCTTAATTAAATGTACCACACTGGAGATTTATAGACACTTGGCACGACCTGACAGGCAAACTGGATAATTCCTGATTGATCTAGTAGCAAGTATTCTTTTTATTTTAGTGCTTGCACATTTAGTTCATTAACAAACTAACAAAAGTTTAACAAACTAACAAAAGTTTAACAAACTAACTGACACATAATGGAGAACTCCCTGAAAATGGAAGTTTTGGAGTGGCATACTGGATTGAGTTAGGCTGAAGTTACTCACATTAAAAGTGCTTTTGCTATAATGGAAGGATAAATGTTTTATCCTGTAAAATTTTTGTTTTGCAGATGGCTTGTTCAACCAGTATATCAGTCAGCAAGAGTACAAACCTCGCTGGGGGCAGATTATCCCCAAAAGCACCAAAGGTAAGGACATTTCTTAAGATAGAACTCATGTACTGCCAGTTCTGTCTTGTTCCTTTGAGAATATGGAGCAAGAAAATGATGCAAGAAAGTCTCCTCTAGGAGAGTTCTAGGGAATGGTTTCTTTGAAAAAGTTGCATTTGTCTGCAAATTCAGTGAAATTCAGCCTGCTCTCTGGTTGAGTAAAGAACACTGCAGGAATACAAGTGGCAACTTTAAGGATAGATCATCAGTTTAGTAACAAGTCCCAGAATATTGGTAAAACATGAGAACAGTTAGCTGTGTTGCTGGATTTAGCACATGAAATTGATGTAACTTAACTTAAAGTGAAGAGTTGGCAAATAAATACATTATCTTAACAGGGAGTATTTTAAACGAGGTAGATCTTTTGAAGTCTTGATCTGTTACACAGTAAATCCAAACTGCAGAATCTTTTCCATTCCTGTCTGCCTTGAGAGGAGACTTGTAGCAGCATCCTTAACTGCAGAGTGCAAAAATCATAAAGCAAATGTAGGATCCAAGGTGGCAATTGCCAGATGTGGAGCACTGTCCCCAAGCCCCATGGGAGTGGTTATTTATCTGTGTCACCTGTCCTGAATGCCTAAGATACATAAAGTTGTTGGAAAGCTGCTTTAATTGGACAGGTGGAGTTCCCTTATACATGAGCATAGCTTGTGAAAAGCTGGCTGTGCTCTGTCTACATCACCTCCTGCTCCTATCCCAGGGGTTCATTTCCCTGCCGTTTGATTATCTGTTCTCACAGCTCAGCCCACAGGCAGCTCTCAGGTGGGGAGGGATGGCAGGGGAGCCAAAGGGTGGCTGTGTTGTCCCTGCTGGAGAGCTGCAAGGACAGCTCAGAGCTCTTGTGTGTGCACCGAGTGCATCGGGAATGTTGGAGCTCCTTTTCGAGGCACTGGGAGCTGCAGTTTTCACTTCTGCTCTCTGTACTGTCAGTTACCAGATAATTCAGTATAAAACTTTGTCCAGTTTTATAATGCACAAAAAATATTACCTGGAAAAAGTGACGTGCTAGTGTTTAAAGAAGGGCAGGTTACTCAGCTTCCATGTTGAGACTGTATCTTTCTTTGATTTCAAAATCTTAAAATGGAAAACTCTCCCTTCCCTCTTTTTCTGAAGGTGATGGGGAAGACAGTCGGCCAGGGATGAGAGGTGGCCATCAGATGGTTATAGATGTGCAGACAGGTGAGTGCTTGTTACATTTCTTAACTATATTATCTAATCAGTTCTTTTGCAGGTTAATATGCAAATGTGTTTTTCTTTGGACACTGTGTTAGCTTCAGGATTTGAGGAAAAAAAATTGCACTTTCGAATAGTTGGATTAAGTGCTCTGCTTCCTCTCTGGATCTATATTCCAGTTGCCTTTCCCCTTCTTCCCTCATAATTCTGTATTATGCCATAGCCATTGTCTTAACTAAGAAACCAAGAACAATTGGTTTTAATTTTTTGTTCCTCCTACCATCTTAGAGCAGGAGTTCAAACAAGAGAAGAGAAATTAGGGATAATAATTTTCCTTATCTGCTGCAGGCTGTGCTCAAGCAATAGATCTGATGTGTTGAAACATTCCTTGTATTTTGTTTGGAGTGGCTCCTAATTCCCATAGTGTGCAAGAAACTCCTGCTAAATATAATTCTTTAGACATCTTTTGCAAAAATGTTTCCTGTAGCAGTTTAAAGAATGGCTCAGCCTCTGTTTCAGAGAACCTGCAGAGAAAAGAAAGTGGGGTGGTGTATCAGGAACAGTTCCAGTGATTGTTGTTCTGCATAATTTTCTCAATCTTTGTCTGTTATTTAATCAGATTTCTGTGCTACGTCAGTCCTTACTAAAATAAGGAAAGCATCTGCCCGAGTCTTTGCTGTGTGAGTGAAAGGATTGTTCTTGGGAAGGGAGAAACAAGATCAGGGTGTGGATATTGGACAGGAATATAGGGTGGCATTGAAGGAGTTGGCAAAAAAAAATGCCCATGGCCGTATCTGTTGTGGTCACAGGACGGGGACAGAGCATGTGACAGGATAGGACCTTCCAGAGTAATTTGCTAAGTCATAGTGAACAAGCAAAAATCCAGCAGTAGCTGCAGCCTCTGGCTTTTGCTCAGAGTAGTTACTGCTCTGGAGGAAGCTCTCGAGTTATTTGGTGTAGGAGAATAAACTTCTTTCATTTGGTGGGAGAGGTTTGAGATTGATTAGTACAAAACGCTGCTGGAGGATTTGCTGGTGTTTCCCTATGCAGAGGCTGGGAACGCTCCCTAGTGGCCTCGGGAATTAGTAGTGAGTGTTTCACAAGAGCATGGAAGAAACATGATCCTTGTCAGCTTGGAAATGATAGTCCTGTACACCTCCTGAAAATAAAATCCATGGTAGTGTGAGCCTTCCTTTCCATTCCTCCTGCTTTTCTAAAGTCCCAGTAAGGTTGTCAGCTCTGCCTTTGACTTGTTTCACTGCTTTAACAAGGCAATGAAATTCATCCATATATTTTTTAATATTTCTTGATATATTTTATATGTATTATATATACTTTGGAAGTATGTGTGTATTTCATATATTTTAATATATACAATTTATATTGTTTTTTACTTGCACAAAAGTGGCTGGACAGTACCCACAGAAGTGGAGTCTTGGATGTCCCTCCCTCTCTCATGGAGATACTTTCTTGCTGTAGTACTATTTACAGGTGGTGGGATACCTTCCCAAAGTTTCCCTGTGGGCTCTTTGGGAAGTTGCTCTCTGTTTTGCATCCAGGTCCACTGAGGCTTGTAAAAGCTGAAATGTTTTTGAGATGATCAGTTTTGCCATTTAATTTGGCTCGTGACAGGCCAGGGGAAGTTCTTGGGGCTGTTTCCCATTGCTGATTGCTGGAGTTTTCCTTTTGAATATAGGTGGAGTTTAATGAGCTGGTGGGAATTTAGCCAGTTATGTCAGAATGCATTTTACAGACTGGAGCTGGAAAGCTCCCTGGCTAACCTTGGACAGATCCAGTGTTAATGGAAAAGGGAGCAGTGGTGTACTCTTCCCTTCAAAGACATCCTGCCTCCTTACTCACACACTTGCTGAGTGGGTTTTTTTTCAGAAGACTTTGGCAACTGAAGAAAAATCGTCTCAGTTTGCATTCCTTGTTAGAAGAGTGAGGTCCTTCTCAAAAATCAGCATTTTCTTCAACTTGAATCTTTTGTAAGTGAAGTGAAACAGCAAAATCATACTTACAAGGAGATTCTGAAGTTTCATACCACATAGAACTAAGTGTTGGAAGTAGGTTTTCATCTCTGATGGCCAAACGTGCTGTAGCTATAAATGAACTGTCAATGGTTTGACATTTTGATTAACCTCAAGGAGATTTTTACCACTTATTACTGACTAGAAAAATAATTCTAATTTAATGGTACTGAGCCTGCTGGATTCATGTGCTGATGTTAAGACAGAGGATATGGGTTGGTAAGTAGCTGAATTAGATCTTAAGTTGCTACTAGTACATGGAGTCACTGAGACTTTTTTTATCAGTTTCAGGTAGAACATGGATTAACTTGGTCTAACCTGCCTTTTATCTTTCACTTAGAGTAGACTGAAGGTAACTGAAGGAGAATTTAACATCTGGCAGCCAGTAAATTGTGCTGGAGCTCATTTTCATCTGGTAGTCCTGTTCTTAATACCTGCCACAGCTAAGTGCAGTGTTCCTGATGCTTTGGAAAACTCTTAAAGTAGTTTGAAATGGAACTGTAGGCATTGTGACATGCAGAACTGAGAATGCAGCCTGATGTCTTCCTAGATATAAAAAAAGAGAAAAATGGGAGGTTAGTGATTCCCACAATATCCTCCATCATTTTAATCACATTAACACTCAGAGTGGAATGACTCTGGATGCCAGAATTAGGGTTGGGTATACATGTGCAGAAACATAAACAAAGAGAAATTCACAGTTATAGCTGAAACTACTGTTAGGTACTTTAAAGCTTTAGGCTGCAAATGAAAACAGAAAGCTCCTGTTATTCCTGCTTTTCCCTGCAAGGTGCATTTCTCATGCAGCTCTCTGTGTGGGAGGCCTGGAGAATTCTCTCTGCTTTTCTACAAGGAAGGGGAAGTATTTGAGTAGTTGCAACCCAGGTACATAGATTAAAACAAAATTATCCCACATACAACCCCAGAACTGCACAAGAACACCGTGTTGTGTGCTGCATGTCAGACATGAGAAGTTGTTTGTGTAGGCCCTGGGGAAGTCTGGGCAGGCTCGTGTGCAGAGCTGTGTTCCCATGGAATTGAACCCTAATGCAGTTTTGGATGAGGGTCTCAGCATCTGGCACTGGTTCCTAATTAACAGCTCTTTGAGTCTGCCCTTCCTGGCCTCCTTATGGGTCAGATATGCCACATGTTTCAAAATCCCAGTGCTTATTCTGGAAGAAAGAGGGAATGGGTAAGTGAGTTGCCAAAAGTAGGTTTTAAGGATTTTTATGAAAAGTATGTGTGCTGTGTTTTGGAGATGTGGTTTGTAATTCCACAGGCAGGGTGGAATTATCTCTTCTGCTCTTACAGGGAAGACACAGTGCAGTCCATAAAGCCATGTAATTGTTTTGATAACAATAGAAATATGGACCATGTAGAAATAATTTTATTTTAAAAAAGATACTTGGTGTTAAATCAGACTTTCTTAAATGTTGAAGTTTTCCCATGAGCCTGCTTTAGAAATAACAACAAAGCAACCAGGATGATTTTTCTTCTGTCTCCATTTCTCTTTTCTTTGGCAAGTGAAACAGTTTTTTGAGGGAAAGCATTAGTGAAATGGTCTTTATTGATGTGGTACCTCTGTTCTCTCACTGAAGTGCAACTGCTGTATAGTTTTGGTTCTACATCATCTTGCTTTTCCTTTCGTCCGAAGGAATTCTGTTTGCTTCCCTCCATTAGATAAATGAGGACAAATCTGGGGGATAGGAACAGAGGGAGATTCAGAGCACTGGGCCCAGCGTGCCCGTTGTGTACGTGGGCAGCACAGCAGAAATGACAAGGCTGGTTCAAAAGCCTCATGGAAAGATGAAAAAGATGAAGAGAGAGCAGCAGACATGAAGGATGCTGTTTTGCCTGAGGAAAACACTGCTATCCATAAGATATTTAAAGACAAGACTTGTGTACAGGATGAAGGGATCTCAGAAACAAAACACAGATGGCTTCTAAGCTCTGAAACACAAACAGCTGCTGAATCCTGGAGGTTACTCAACTTCATGGGGCTTTCACATTTGAGACTGTATGCCTATCCATAAAAAAACCCCTTGTATTCAGCCAACTTGCATCCAGCTGAACCGTGGCTCAGAAACTAAGGGGTGTGATACTGCAGGAAGATTTAAGGCTGGTTTTATATTTGTGCTCTTAAATGCTCCTTGCAAAGTGGGCAGTGTTGCTGGCAAAACTAAAGGTGTGGGTGCTACTTGGGGAAGTGACATTCTTTTGTAGAGAGCTTTTGAGAGATCTTACACCTTGGTTGTTTTTTTTATTACTGAGAGGAATCCTTCATAGTTTTAGGGACAGTGATACTCCAGCAAGTCTGTGCTGGCACCTGACTGGGAGGGCAGTGGCTGATGAACTGGGGAACAGGGCCATGAGTCCAGGGGACCCTGAGGGGCTGCAGGAGAGCATTGCAAGGTTCTGATCCTGCCCCTGGCATGTGACAGCTGTGCAGGAGGACAGGCTGGGGGCTCCTCTGTGCAGGACAGGCTGGGGACTGACTGACACTGGAAGTGGAATGTGTGTCAGCAATGTGTCTTTGTGGCATTGAGGGCCAGCCTCTCCTGCTGGGCTGTACCAGCACAAGCATGGCCAGCAGGGAGAGGGAAGGGTGATGTTCCTCTTTTGGGTACTCAGGGACACATCTGGAGTGCTGTGCCTGGTTTAGGTTCTCTGGGACAATAAGGATTGTGTCAAACTGAACTGATCAAGGTAGTCAGGGCTGGAGCATGTGATGTGTGAGGAGATGCTCAAGGAGCTGGTTTTGTTCATCTGGTAGGAAAAAGGTTCATGGGAGCATCCTAGAGCTGTCTTCAGCTACTGGTGAAGCATGGAGATAGCCAGGCTCATTTTGGGGGGAGCAGAGGGACAGGATAAAGGACAGGAAGGGAAAACCCTGTTAGATTATAGGGGGAAGAAATTGTAATGAAATTAATCAGTCATTGCAGCAGGGATCCAGTCTGAAATGTCCATCTTTGGAGATACTCAAAAGTGTAACTGAGCAACGTGGTCTCTACTGAAGTTAAGCCTTCCTGTGAAGGATTTAGGGGATGACTGATGGACCTTGCAGAAGTGCTGTAGATCCACAATTCTTTTATATTCCTTGGAGAACTGTTCTAGCAGAGACATGGAAATACTACTTGACTAAAGAATGTAGTTAAATATGTCACCAGGACTGGAATGTATTCACTGAGGAAGATCTCCTGTACAAGAATCCCACCAAGGATTTCACCACATGGAGAAGATGGAGTTAACAGGAGTTAGAGAACTGTCCTTGAGAATGTGTGTGAACCTGGACTGAAACTACCTCAGGAATTTTCATATTTAATGGGTTGGAGAAGACTGCTTTGCTACTTTTCTAAGAAATAAAAATTAAGGAGAGGTAGACAGGAAATATGTTGATTGTTGGGAATGTGTGTCCTCTAATTTGAGGACTTCTCTGGCGCCTTTTAATCATCTGGAGAGTAAGGGAAGAAAAGAACTCAGACATTACAGAAAAATTTTTGACTGAGCAAGCAGTTTAGAAATACTCACAGAACATATTTAATTCAAAGTGTTGAATTTGTATTCAGAAATAAATGTAGAGGAAATAAGCTGAGGATGCTGGAGGAGAAATTTGACTTCCTAAACGTAGCTGGTAAAAGCTTTGGGTAAATATAATTGCTTTCATGTTTTTTTTTTCCTTGTTGCCTTGCAGCTAGGTTTGAAAAATTCTCCTGCTCTCTCCCTACAGCTGAATAGAGACTTGCTTTAATAAAGCAGCATCAATTTTGCTGTGTTCCATATTGCTTGGATGCAGAGGGAGGATCCTTTCCTCCTTGAGTTCCCAGAGTAACATTGGTGTGAGACTGCTGGGCTCCCCTCAAGCTGCCCCACTGCTGCTGCCTGGGATTTGTGGCCTCTGTCCTCTTCTTGGAATATTGGCCTTTGTTATCTGTCCTGGTTGGGTCTCTGCATGTGAGGTGAAAAAAAAAAACCCTCCCATAAAATCTGAATTAACAGCTAGAATACAAGCAGTGATGCTGGTTGGGAAATAGAGTGAAGCTTGACTTCAAAAAAACCTTAAAATCCCCCAAAAACTCAAACCCAACCAAACAAAAACAATCAAGCCCAACCCCAACCAAACAAGAACAATCCCACAAACCACCAAACAACTGTTTTTTTGCTTTATACCATGGGAAAACAGTTACAAATTTTAGGAGAACTACAAAAAGTTATTTACTTGACATTACCAGCAACAGATGCATTTATGCATTAAGAAATACTCCTTTTAAAACATGGAACCTTCCTCTAAAATGTACCTATGCTTCTGCAATAAGGCATGAAGCTAAAAAATTATTTTCATTGGGGCTAAATAGTAGTGATGGAGCCTTTCTTTCATGTGAGCTACAGTTTTACTTCATGATGAAAAATGGGTCTGGCACAGAGTTCATGTCCACTTGTATTTGGGGTGTTGCTCTGGGGATGCTCAGCACCAGCTGGGTGCTCATGCTTCTCTCTCAGTGCTCACATTTAATTCTGTCAGCCTGGGTTAGGTAACTTCCAAAATCTTGAGTTTTCATCGGAGTCATTCAGGTTTGCTATTAAATTTCATGTGAGCCAACAAAGCCTTTCCAGGCAGGCCTGACATTTTGGCAAGGCCCCAGTAGGATTTTTAGCTGGTGCCAAATCTTTTATTTTTCTCGGCTATCAATGAAGCTGTTGTGGTAATGTGGGTTTTGTGAGCTGTGAGAATTTATGTGCACAAAGGGACCTGCTCTTTGCAGGGAACACTGGGAGCCCTGAGTCCAGGAGGAAGGGTAATTAAAGTTAATGAACCAGGGTAACCTTTCCATGGTGATGACCACTATCCTCATGGTAGGTAAGGGTCAGGGACTAGGCCCGTTTATAATCGTGCTCTAACTCCGTGCTTTAATTGGTGTTGGATTAAAAATTGGCCATTACCTCCATAATAGAAGTGGTTGGTGGATTTTAAGGGAGTTTTTCAAAGCTCTGCAAGTCTTGAGGAGCTTGTTCTTCTTGGACTTGGCTTTGTGTGGTGTTTTAATGTGGTTTAAAAATGAAGTATTTTTAGAATTTGAGACCAGATAGTTCTATTTCTATAATGGGAGCAGTTTGGTTATCTCCCCATGGCAGAACAGAAACTCCTTTCTTAAATGCTTCCCCTCTTCAAAGGCTTCATCTGGTTTTATCAGTGAGCCTGGGAAGCCTTAGAACTTGCTCTACACAGAGCAGTTGTGGGTTTGAGGTGACAGCCCTGAAGCACTGACTTAAATTTGTGACTCTTCTACTTACTGGTTTTTGTGGCATCAGGTAAGTTATTTTATGCAAGACATTTCCCTTGAAGAGGGTTTTGTAGTTGATTTTTCTGGCTAAGGGATGGACTGAACAGAAAAACTTTGCTGCTTCTATCTCCAGAATCTCGTTGATGTATAAATCCTGCACCAAACAGGGCACAGGCTGACATGTCATTGATAGACTACATGCACAGGATCCAAAATGTTAAATATTGTTCATTTGTCTGTCTGGAATTTTAATCAGAAGGCTGTGGGTTTGATTGCCTCTTATGTAAATGTAGAAATAGAAAATGACTCTGAGAATTGGCTGTCTATCAATCCTAAAATCTTCCATTACTAAACCAAACCACATTTTTGTCTTGATGACTAGTTCCATTCAAAGAGGAGTGGTGTTTTAAGTAAAAAAAGAGTTTAAATTTCTTTTCTGATCGTTTGTCTTTGTCACAGATGTTTAAACAGATTCTCTCTTAAAAATAAATTTAATTTTTTTTTTTTTAATAGAAACTGTTTATTTGTTTGGTGGCTGGGATGGAACTCAGGATCTGGCTGACTTCTGGGCATACAGTGTGAAGGAAAACCAGTGGACCTGTATATCCAGGGATACTGAGAAAGAGGTGAGTTCTGCAAACATCCATATTTTTAAAAATACATCAATGGTTGCTCTCAAAAATGCCCCTACTAAAGTACTTGTGTTGAAGTGCAGTATAAGGTGAGAGCCACAGAGTTCAGGCCTTCAAGTTCTGAAGATTTTTGAAATGCTTATGTGGGAAAAATATGAGCTGGAGGTGGCTTTGAAGTGTTAAGATTCCTGGAGGGGAAAGGTTTATTTCTCAAAAGCAAAAATGATCGGCCAAAAAATCAGCTCAGTAAGTAGAGCACGAGTTAAACAATTTTGTGTGGCTGAACAACCAGACTTATCACAGAATCACAGAATGTTTTGGGTTGGAAGGGACCTTAAAGATCATCCAGTTCCAGCCCTGCTGCCATGGGCAGGGACACCTCCCACTGAAAGGTTCCAAGAACTTGCTAATGAACATTTCAGACCTGATCCTGGTGTTTAAGCTTCAGAAACAAATAGTTTGTTTTTTCAGTTTCTGTCAAAAATGAATGGAAATGGACAACTACCAGATGAAATCTAGAGGACAGGGGTTACTGCCAAGGGCTACACAACCCCAAGAGCTTTCGTGGAATTCATCTGAACCATTTTCCTTGGCCTGTTTTGCTCAGTATTTGACGTATTAAACCTGAAATGAATGTAGCTTGGGTTATAGGACTAGACAAAAAAAGTCCAAGACCTTTGGCTTGTGTAATTCATTTCACTGTACAGTGAAATCTTCTAATTTGGGGTGGTTATTGTATTTTGAGTTCATTACTTGTTTGTCAGAGGAAAATTCATGCCACCTCTTGTTGGAGGTGTCAAAAGTTTGAGATCCCACCACTTTTTGACAAATTCAGGAGTTGATTTCCTCAGCAATTTGAAAACAGTATAAAAACATCTTGTTTCTCATTTGTATTTCTCAGTTTCTTGTCAGGACTAATTTTGTGAGCTTCCTTACCAGATTAAATAACAATTTAATATTCTCATTTTTTTCATGGCAAAGGTTTTTTAGAGGTTGTAATCAAGTAGGACGAATAGCCTGAGCTGAAAAAAAAAAAGACTAACATTTCACAGGCATTTCCTGTAGCCCTCAAATCTCTGTGTCGTGTACTTACTGATTGGAACATCCTTTACAAAATAGGCAATAACAAAACTGAACGTGATACTCTGGTTTCTGTCATAACAGAGCTGTGGAGAGGTAAAATTGTTATATTTATGTACTGTTTAGGCAAAAAGGGGCTGCTGTGTTTTCTTTCTGCACGAACCAGTGTGGGTCAGTCTGGTGTTTAAGGGATTCATTTCCTTCTTGCTGGGGTTGTGCCACATCCAGTTGAGTTTATCTAAAATTTAGGAGGCCTGTCTGGGATGTTTACTTTCCTTGTTCCTAATGCCTGACTCCAGCAGGGTAGGACTGGGATGGGAGGAAGAAAGGATGCACGAAAGGAGAGCTGTGGAGGAGACACAGCAGAAGAGTTGTGAGTTGATGTGATTAAATGATTATAAAGGGATTTTGGAGGGAAAAATCTTAGCAGTGTTATGGAAGCTCAGGAAATTCAGATGGAAAATGGGAAGGGTCTGATGGGGAGAGGAAGAAAGAGGAATTTTTAAAAAGTGGAGACTTGCTAGATGTGTGAGGAATTTTGAAGAAGGGATGTTCTTAATAGAGCCAAGTGTGGAGAAACATGGTTGGCTTTGGAAAGGGAATTCTGGAAGGACTCTCCATGACAAACTTGTGAGATGGGGCCCCTGTGAGCCTCATTGAGTTTAACAGGGCCAAGTTCAAGGTCCTGCACATGAATTGGGGCAATTCCAAGAACAGATAGAGGCCAAGCAGAGAATGGATCCAAGAGCAGCCCTAAGGAGAAGAAGGACTTGGGATATTGGTGGATGAGAAGCTCGACAGGTCTCGATGATGTGGTTTGAGCACTTCTGTTCTGGAGCCAGGCTGGGAGAGCTGGGGGTGCTCACCTGGAGAGGAGAAGGCTCCAGGGAGAGCTCAGAGCCCCTTGCAGGAGTGCTGGAGAGGGACTTGGGACAAAGGCATGGTATGCCAGAACAAGGGGGAATTGCTTCCCAGTGCCAGAGGGCAGGGTTAGATGGGATATTGGGAAGGAATTCTTGTCTGTGAGGGTGAGGGCACCCTGGCACAGATTACCCAGAGAAGCTGTGGCTGCCCCTGGATTCCTGGAACTGTCCAAGGCCAGGCTGGACGGGGCTTGGGAGCAACCTGGGATAGTGGAAGTGTCCCTGCCCATGGCAGGGGGTGTCACCAGCTGAGCTTTAAGGTCCCTCCCAACCCAAACCATTCCATGATTCTGTGATACATTCAGCAGTGTTCAGGTGGGCTCCTGAAGGGTTTTGGTGACTTCAGAGGTACAGTGAGCTGGCAGCTGCTGTACATGGAAACCAGCATTAGGTTGTGGTTTTTTCTTTTTCCCAAAGAGATCTGGATGAAACCTGGTTTAGAAATGAAAAGGTCAATCTCAAATGTTGAGAAGTAAATTCAAAAACAAAGACTCCAGATGTTTCTATAACAGGGACATCGACTGCTCACAAACAATTTGCAAAAAGGAAATGTCTGTTGACATGGAATTTTAAAAAATATTCGGAGTAGATTCCAGTAGAGCTTAATCTTATTTGGTGGTATTGTGCTAGTTCTGCTTCTGGCTTTTTTATTCTAATTAATTGGTGACAGTGGTTAAATTAGCCACTCAATAATTAAACTTGGATAAGAGCAAAATATGGTGAAAGTTGCATCCTGTCCAGTGTTATTCAGGGATAATGCAGAGTAATGCTTTTGGGATAAGGGTACTGGGAGCTTCTGTTGCAGTGCATTAGGGAAACCTGTGACCTTTTTTTAGAAAACGTTTTTGCTGCTGATTTTCAGTGTTTTCCAGTGAGGTGTCTCTTTGTCACCTGAAGTTGCATTTGTCTTTTTTTAACAATTACACCACCAAAGCTCATTTTCCACAGGTCTTTTTCATTGAACCATTGAACAGTTAAGTTGGAAAATCCCTCTAAGATCAACTGTTCTCCCAGCACTGCCAAGGCCACCACTAAACCGTGTCCCCAAGTCTCACATCCACATGGCTTTTAAATCCCTCCAGGGACAGGGGGCTCCAGCATTGCCCTGGGCAGCCTGTTCCAGGGATGGACAACTCTTTCAGTGAAGAAATTTTTCAAAATGTCCAAGCTCAACCTCCCCTGGTGTAACTTGAGGCCGTTCCCTGTCCTCCTGTCCCTGTTCCCTGGGAGCAGAGCCCGACTCCCCCGGCTGTCCCCTCCTGTCAGGGAGTTGTGCAGAGTCCCAGGGTCCCCCCTGAGCCTCCTTTTCTCCAGGCTGAGCCCCTTCTCAGCTCCCTCAGTTGCTCCAGACCCTTCCCAGCTCCGTTCTCTTTCCTGGAAGTGCTCCAGCTCCTTATGTCTGTCTTGTATGTCTGGACAAAATGCTCAGGGTTCTGCTGGAGTAGCTGCTCACTTACAGCATGAAAAACACGGTCTGGAGGACCTGCTAGTGAGCACACCACCACTGCTGATGGACAAACAGACCCCACCATCCCTGTGAATCCAGCAGGATTCCTGCTGTGCTTGTCAAATTCTCTTCCTCAAGCCTGAATCCTTCCAGGGAGATGCTCCATGGAGCAGCTCAGGACCTCTCAGCTTACCCACAGCTTCTGTCTCTGGGGTGTGTGACAGCCCTGTGAATCAGCTGGCACAAGGCACAGCCAAAACGTATTTCATTTAAGAGCCTTTAAGAGTTTCTACCCTGAATCAAGTGGAATGTTCTGACAAATGCTGTTGTCTTCAGGGTTTTTTAGTGGCAGTAGATCAACAGACCTCTTTAGGATTAGGGAATAGTTTTAAAAAAAACAGGTCTTGTCATTCCTTGGACGTTTTTATTCTAGGCCAGTGTCAGTTAATAGAGAAATTTAATGTGTGTGTTTTGATGGCTATTTCTAGTTTCCAAGCAGCAAATTTTCTCTTTTGAAGGGTAATTTAGTGAAATTCAGTGCAGGAGGACAGTTCTAAGTGAAGGAAAGACTTTGTTTGGTGCAAATTGATAGTCAAGGGATTTTGAAATAGGATCAAAATGCTGAGGGATGTTGATGCCTCTGGAGATCAGATAAATGAGACTAAAGCAAGTGTGATAGTTGGCATATTTTGTGTGTCTCTGGTGTTGCTGTACCTTGTTTTAGCATTTCCTAGACACAAGAAATGGGGGGAATCTCCCTTCAAGCAGTGTCACTGCACTGATTGGTACCTTCTGTGCTGCTTCTTGGAAAATACTTTGACTCATCCTCGTTCTGGCTTCTTCAGAGGAAAAGCCTGCTCACAAATCAGCTCTGTGAAGGACATGGAAATTGTGTAAATGGGTTAGGTTTAGGTGACACTGTTTCTCTCAAAAATTGTTCAAGTGTTTCCTTGCCAAAGGTAGAAGTGAAGGTCTTGTCATGGTTTAACTGCTTGAGAGGATAAATCTCTGCTCACAATGAAGGAAAGTGTAGGTCAACAAGTGCCTCCTGTTCAGTAGGTTCAAAATGGTGTAGAAAATGGGTATACTGTGAGATGACAGTTTGCTGTGAGCACCAAGTGCTTTTCCAGGATGCTGAAAGTAAAAGCTGACAAGTGTAGAAAGATCTCCTAATGGTGAGAGCCAGGGGGAATTTCAGCTGCTATTGTATTTCCAGTTAAATTTTCTCCAGTCTGTGCATGCATTTCATTGCATTTGTTGACATGGATGAATTTACCCAAAGCTTTCAGTGTCATATTACCACAGAAGCATTTTTTGTAGGAGTTTGTGACACTTCTGACTGGCTTTTTTGGGTGTGATGCAGCAGTACACGAGCTCATCAATGTAAAGCTTTTACCCTGTGCTGTTTGAAGTGTAGGAATTGAACTAGTCTCAAATATTGACTTCTTCCCACAGATGGTGATACAGTTTGGAAGACACGTCAAGTGACTTGAGGGGCTTTTTGTTGCAAATATTGTGAAGTTTACAGACTTGAGATCTAATAC